CCTCCTCCCTCATGAACCCATGATAATTTATAAATTATTATTATTTTGTCATATCTTACACTGTCCAACGTCTCCCTTCACCCACTTTTCTGTTGTCTCTCCCCTCGGGAGGAGGTTATATGTAGATCCTTGTCATCGGTTCCCCCTTTCTACCCCACCCTCCCTCCACTCTCCTGGTATCACCACTTTCACCATCAGTCCTGAAGGGGTCATCTTGGACTTTATTTTATAGTCTTGGTAGGTGGGCTTATATTGCCAAGGTTTTGCATAGTAAATGACATAAATTCACTTGTGTTACACTACAGACTATATGTCTCTACCTCTCTAGTTAGACATGTAGTTTTGATCAATAATCTTCCAGGACATATAGTTAAATCAACCGAGTGAAATCTCCTACTCACTCAAAAAATCAAACGGACTGCCTTTGTGAGTTCCCAAGGCTCTAACTCTTTGGGGGACTAGAAAGCTTCCTCTTTCTCTCAAGAGCTGGCTGATGGTTTCCAACTGCTGACCTTACAGTTTGCAGCCTAACGTGTAACCCACTATACCATTAGTACACAGAGATCAGAGTAAAAAGAAAACAACAACAACAACAACAAACCGTAGATTCTAAAGGGCTGGGGGAAACATCCAAGCTAATGAGTGAATGCTCTAAAATGTGAGATCTAAAATACTACTCATAGTGCTTGTCATTGGTGAAGCCAAAGTCCACGAATCCCTTTGCTTTGAAGCTGTGGTGTCCTTGGGAACGCCTACAGAAGGGAGAATCTGACTATACCATGGAATCCAGTATTGATAAATGGGTAAAGCCTTTTAAAAATAACCACAGACAGACCATTTAACAACAATGTGTTGGTTAGCTACCTCCTGGGCTTCAGAATGGTCCTCCTGTCTTTCTCAGTGGTAAACAGGGGCGGGGGAAGGATGCTAAAGTTGATGCTCTCAGAGAGAAGTTGCTAAGAGTTTGCGGTCTCTCATCTGGAAGAATGATGAGTGGACTCCCACGCCACGTTGTGGCAAGCAGTAGCAACCGTTTGTGAGCCAAGAAGGGAAAGCAGCTGACAGAGCTCGTGGGGACTCACTGAGTTGCCATCCGATGGACTCTGTTAGGAGTTTTTGTGTGTCGCATGGTCCTGTGTGCAAGCTTCATTGGCTTCCTCTTTTTCCCAGGCCATGAACGGTCCATGCTGGATTCTGATCACGCTCTGTCCACAGCTGTTTCTTGCAAGTAATGCTAATGCGCTTGCTTTAAAAATGTGTGAGCTGTCTGGATATCCTCTCTTCCTTTCCCATCGGGCCCCTTGACCCTCTCTGTCTGTATATTCTCTGCCTTCTGTCTCTCCAACCGACGGCAGTGACTTTAAACAACTTTGCCCCTGAAACAGTAGTTTCTATGCTTTTAAAAGTTATTGAATAACGAATAGAAATCCCAAAGATATTGAATTTCTAAGATTTTAAATAAATTCCCCCAATAAAGGTCTCCTGAAATATTTTTAAAATATTCAATGTGGAATGCTTTTTAGTTAAACATCAAGGCTGCTTCATTTCTAACAGGTCTCTGTCATTCGTCATAAGACATAGACTATTCCTTGGAGAGGTTGCTAAAGGGGTTTTAATGGTATTGGGACTTAATTTGATAAAGTTAACCTGTGCTTTCCATTGAAGATCATAACCAAGGTCAAGTGCTTGTTCATCTAGATTTTAAAATCTCCTTTACTCATGGAACCCTAAATCATTAGCATAAGTAACTATAGTCCTTTACAAGATTGATATCAATTTATGTATTGCTAGTTAAGCTTCTTGATTCTGGAAATGAGATACAAGTTCGTTCAAAAAAGGCCTGTTGACTAGCTGTTTGTGAGTTTGGGCTGTTAACAACAAAGTCAGTATTTCGAACTCACCAGTAGATCACCACCCCTTTAAGCTGAGGCATCCCTTGGTAGATTCAAACTTCCAAAATTCCCGTTAGCAGCTAAGCATGCTAGCTCTTTGCATCATCCAGGGACTCTGTCACCACCCCCCAGCCCCACCCCTGCCACAACTATCCCTCACAATCTCTGCATTTAATAGTCCCAGCAGTATCCGAAGGAGCCGAAGGAGTACAGAAGGTTAAATGTTAGGTGGTTAACTCAAAGGTCAGTGCTTCAAACCTACCAGCTACTCCACAGGAGAAATGTGAGGCTGTCTGCTTCCATAAAGATTCCAAAAAACCAACTCCCTGCCATGCAATCAATACTAATCAAAACGAACCCCAGTGGGTTTCTGAGATTGTAACTGCTTATGAGAGTGGGAATCCTAATCTTCCTCCCAGGATGCTGCTGGTGGTTTGGAACTATGGACCATGCTGATCACAGCCCAAATTGTAACTACTACATTTGGGCTCCTTCCATAAAGATTAAAGCCTCAGAAACCCTATTGGGGCCGTCTACTCTGTCCTACATGGTTGATAGGAGTTGGAATTTCCTAGAAGGCAATGGGTTAGGCTTGGGTTAGCGGTGTCCCACATTACTTGAGAGAAACCTAAAATTAAAACCTAAAAATTAGCAGACGCATGATGCTCCAGGAAGAGGCCCTCCGTGGCTTTGCCTTGTTTGGCAAATGCTAAGCAAGGGTGAGGTGCTGCAAATAAAGCAGCACTGGCACTTGATGGCAAGAGAGGTTTTCTATTTTATACTATTTTGCTTCCCGTGGAGAACATTGGCCTCCTTCCATGCACATAAAACACACAAAGTTGAGAGATTCTGCCCCAGGCTTCGTGCCCTCAAATGTTAAAATGACATTGAATGGCTAGAATGAAAGATAGCCCTTAAAGCACAAATATGTATAAGCAGTTTACCCTGGAAATTTTTGTAAAATGACTGCAGAGGATGGGAGATTTGTAAGATATAGAGGCCCCCCTTCCCCCCCTCTGGCTTATCTGATAATGGCACCCTAGCCTCAAATACAGTAGATAAAAAGAAAAAAAAAAACACCAGGAAAACCTGAATCTCACAGAACATTTATTCAAGCTAGTAAGTAATTACAATTTTTGTAGGTTAAGAAGCTATCTATTATCAATTTCATATGGTTCAACTCATGAAAGTTGTAAAGGGCCATAGGTTATGGGGAACTGGGTCAGACATAAGTTTAGAGGACTCTCAGGACTCTACAGGATGCAGTGAATTAGTGCAAAGGAAAAAGGCTGGCTCCTTACCACAGAGTCAGCTCCAACTCAGAGAGCCTGCAGGACCGAATAGAACTGCCCAGGTGGGCTTCCAAGACCATAACTATTCAGAGGAGCAGAAAGCCCATCTTCTCTAGGGGTCCAGAGGAGGCCCCACAGGTGAAGGCAAGTTCACTATAAAGCTGTTTTATGTGTGAGTGGTACCGGACAAGAGAAAACGCACTTAAGGCTTACTCATTGCTATCAACGAACGCTCTTGACAGCAGTGGTGTGAAGCCAGCGGAATTACAGCTATTTAGGGAGTAAAGATTTGCCTTCACTCTTTAATAAGCAGGAATATTTCGTTTGGCACTATGTCCCAAACAGTTTGGGAAACGTTCAAAAGGCCTTCAAATTTCAGCATTAAAGTATGTCACTGTGGTGGATGGGCGCCTTTCTGCGTGCGTCTCCATACAAAGTTAAGGCGATTCTGGTCCCCAAGGCCTAAGGGCACTTGCTGCTCTGTTGGCAGTGTCACAGAGCCCTTCCGCACAGAACAAATGAGAAGATAAACAGATCAGCTTCTCACAGGCTCAACAGACTGCTGCATACTGAGAATATCCATGAAATCGGTTTCTTCAATAGGATTCTCATTTACTCATTAGAAATTCATAATCTGTAGAACGCACTGCCCTTTCATGCTGACTAGCTGTTAACGCGGGTACATTAATTACCTCAGTGCCACAGTTTGCTACAGCCTCACTACATTTCACTGCTTGTTCTCACAGTCTCTGTGATCATGAAGGGCCGAAGGGACCAGGCTTCAAGCATCAAAGGCGGGGTGGGGGGCCGGAATCATATCATTGTGAATGAGGGTAGTGCATGATGGGGACCCAATGCCCATCTATAGACAACTGGACATATCTTGCACAGGGGTAGTCAGGAGGAGATGAGTCACTCAGGGTTCAGTGTAGCAATAATGAAACTCACAACCTTCTTCTAGTTCTTAAACGCTTCCTCCCCTCCACTATCAGGATCCCAATTCTACTTTGCAAACCAGGTTAGACCAGAGGATGCACAGCGGTACAGATGGGAACTGGAAACACAGGGAATCTAGGACAGTGGTGAGAGTGGTGATACTGGGAGGGAAGGTGGGGGTAGAAAGGGGGAATCGATCACAAGGATCTGCATATAACCTCCTCTCTGGGGGATGGGCAACAGAAGGGTGGGTGAAGGTAGACTCCGGGCAGTGTAAGATAAGATATAATAATAATTTATAAATTATTAAGTGTTCATGAGGGAGGGGGGAGCGGGGAAGGAGGGGGATGGGAAAAAGGAAAATGAGGAGCTAATTCCATTTACCCAAGAGGAAAGCGAATTTTGATAATGATGAGGGCAATAAATGTATAAGTGTGCTTTACAGAATTGATGTATGTATGGATTGTGTTGAATTGTATGAGCCCCAATAAAATTATATTTTTTTAAGCAAAAAAAAAAAAAAGCAGAAAGCTGCCCCAGTATGAACAAAATCAGCCTTAAAACTCAATAATCCTTGCATCTGTGATGAATTAGAAGTCAAAATATGTTTTCTTCGTGAACCAGTTGTTGAATTTAAAAATCTGTGAAAATATTTTATGAACTAAATATCTGCATAAACAATGATGGTTGTGAAGCGTTCCTTTGGCATTTCTTTCTTTTGCCCTGAGAAAATGTGAGAAGCTAACTCTAACGGCAGAAGACCGAGGTGCAAACTTTGATCACCATGGGTCAGCCACCAGTGGTTGAAGCATGTAATTGCTCTAAATCTGTGTTCTCAGAGGTGAAATAAGATTAACGAAGTAAACAACTTTAGTAAACAATGTCGGATGAATTTTCCTTGGACGATGCCCTACCTGAACACTCTCCTGCCAAAACCTCTGGGGTTAGCAATACAAAGCCTGGTCAACCTCCCCAAGGCTGGCTGGGGTCCAACCCTTGGACTAACCCAAGTGCTCCACCTTCTGTGCCATCTGGACTCCCACCAAGTGCAACACCGTCCACTGTGCCTTTCGGACCTGCACCAGCAGGAATGTACCCCACTGTGCCTCCCACTGGACCGCCTCCAGGACCCCCAGCACCCTTTCCTCCTTCTGGACCATCATGCCCCCCACCTGGTGGTCCTTATCCAGCCCCAACTGTGCCAGGCCCTGGCCCCACAGGGCCATATCCTGCACCAAATATGCCCTTTCCTGAGCTACCTAGACCATATGGTGCACCTACAGATCCAGCTGCCGCTGGCCCCTTAGGTCCATGGGGATCCGTGTCTTCTGGACCATGGGCACCAGGAATGGGAGGGCAATATCCTGCCCCCAAGATGCCATATCCATCTCCAGGGCCATATTCTGCTCCTCCTCCTCCCCAAGCTCCAGGGGCTGCACCCCCAGTTCCATGGGGCACTGTTCCACCAGGTGCCTGGGGACCACCAGCACCCTACCCTGCCCCTGCAGGATCATATCCCACACCAGGACTCTATCCCACTCCTAATAATCCTTCTCAAGTGCCTTCAGGACCATCTGGTGCTCCACCAATGCCTGGTGGCCCCCATTCTTACCATTGAGGTAACAATGGACGAAGAGATGGCGCTTGCTCTTTGAAGTACATATGTATGCATGTGTGACTGCATAGATAAAAATTACTGGTTTCACTATTGGAGGGCATTCATGAAAGAACAACTCTCGCACCTCTCCGAAGATACCTGCCTCTTGTACTTGGGTGTACAGTTGAAACAATCAGATAAAAACATAAATAATTCTAATGAGATTTTATTTGGTTTTCATGGAAAGTTAAAATGATGAAGTATATTGAATAGCTCTTTGATAAAATTTAAAACACAAAAATACACACTTAAAAATCTAAAATGATGTGGGTTATTGTTAGAATCTTCAACTTCATTGGAACATTATGGAAGTGTTTTTTATAGTCACTTTCTTCCCCTAAATAAACACACTTTGAATAACAAAAAAAATGCAATTCAATAAATGCAAGTCATAAGTGTCATTACAATGACCATTATTATTGGTATTAATCCTAGTCCTAAAAGTTCTCTTCTGCAACACTCTTCCATGTATTGCTCTGCGATGCCATTACGTGAATTCATGTCCTCAGTATAGTACCTTTCATCAGTGGGCGACAGTTTATCACTATAATGACTTATACTCATCAGTAAATGTTAAGTGTAGAAACTGTAATCCAATGAAGTGAAAGATCTCACTGCATCTAAAGCTTTTATGACTCCAACTTTAGAACTACAGATATTCAGTCCTGTTTATCTCTCCTCCAAACAGAATCTATGATTTGGGTTTATTCCATTTTACTGCTCAAGGTTTCCGATAAGAATATGAACTAATTATTTCCTAGAATTATTTTTTTTGCTGTAGGTTCCAGGCTAGAACCCACAATGGTGAACTCCTCCAGCCTTCTTATGAAAAGGCATTTTTTTAAAGGGTCTTCACCTGGATGTCAGGAGCGTCCGTGACTCCTGAAAAGTCAGCATTGCCGCGGAAAGTCTGCCTGAGAACAGAAGGATTGAAGAGAGAAAACAGTCTTCTATGTCTAACGGTTCCCTTTTATCGTAGAGGAACGTAATAGGTCAGGGACTCTGGTGACGGAACAGTCCTCCTCCATTATCACTTAATGGCAATCAAACACTTGCTGATATTAAACTTTAAAATAATGCAGGATAACATAAGCTCTTCAATCCACACTTTCAATAAAAATGAATGCTAATAGAAACTTTAGGGCTTCACATTAATGCTTAACTCAAAAGAGAATTACTTTCTTATACCTCTTCTATAATTTAGCTAATAAAATCACTCTCACAGGCTTTTAATTCCCCCCACACACATGTGAAAGACGCAGAGCTGGGAACAGTACTCTCTTTAGTTAAAGTCAAAGAGGCTCTTGGAAACTGTGTGACCATTGAATTTCACAAAACTATTAAGTCCTCTAAGGAGCCTTGGTGGCACAGCACACTAAAAGTTAAGCTGTTAACTGCAAGTTTAGCAGTTCAAAACCACCAGAGTCACTCTGTGGGAAAGAGACAAGGTTTTCTACTCTCATAAAGAGGTACAGTCTTGGAAACCCAAGCAGCCATTCTACCCTGTCCTGCAGCCATGAGTCTGAACTGAGTTGATGGCAATGGGTTTGGTTTGGTTTGGTATTCTCTAGCCTCTATTAAATAGAAACACACTTTGAATTTTTAATATTGCTTTTCTGCTTGGCACCAAAGTTTATCATTCCACTGCCTTCCCTTACCTCCAGTCGGCGTTGACCAGCTCTATTGATATGTCTCCAGGAGAAAGTGGAAAGCATCTAAAACATAAGCTTCTTCGGTAATTGCTGTTCATGTCTCAGTTACTTCATCGAGTTTGAATTATTCTCACAGAATTCTCTTCTTCCTTTCCTCCACTCAGAAAAGGTATCTATTTGAATTTTACCCCCTTACATTACATTGTGCATTTTCTGAGTATCAAATACCTATATTCCTTTTCTTTTTGCGAAGGTGATTATTGAACCAACTTCAGGGGAAAGAACATGTTCCCAATTTTAGGAAGCTCGGGAATGAAGGCTATTCCAGTAACCATGTTGAAAGAGTGATAAGAGTTCCTGCTAAATAATGTTGACTTTCTTCTCTGTCCTGAGTCCTGAGAACTTTAAATGTTTCTGACCAATCCTCACAAATCCAGGACCGCTGTTATATATTTGAAATATATTAGCTTGTTTACCAAATAGTTATTAAGAGACCACTGGGAAAAAACAAAACAAAACATAATTTAGTCCTAGAATTGAGCTCCTAAAATGCAGCTTCTATGATTTCTATTTTTTTGGTACTCACATTTGGGTTGCTATAGTTAACAAACAAAATTACAAGATGCCTAGGTAAACATGTATTTCAAATAAACCACAAGTAAATGTATAAGCATGTTCCATGTAATGTTTTTTTGGATATTCTTACACAGAAATATCATCTCAAGTTGAAATGTAATGAGGTCCCTTTTGTCTCACCTGGTATTGTTAAATTTATATCCAATACTAGTGCTTGTTTGTTTTTATCTAGGTTACACCCTGATTCACGTTCCCATTAGAAAAGAGTTTTTGGTTTTGCTTTTAATTTTACCCCGTTTCACCATCCTTTTTATTCAGATTTAAAATAATTTCCTTGATGTATCTTCAGTTATCTCTCATGTACAATTTAAACTCTGCAGATGCCTTATTCTCACACATTTTCTTAAGCATGTGAATCAATATGGAAAAGACAAATCCTTCCTGTTCACTTAAAATATATTCAGTCCTTGAGCATCGACTTCCAGTTCCTGTTTGATTTCATAACCTTTCTCTCGTCGTGTGTGGTAATCGCCGGAGTGTGCAGCGATGAAACATGAATAGAAGAACATGTGAAGGTGCATGTAAGGTCTAGTCACACAGCACTTTCACCCATCTACCGCTGTTGGTCCATGAGATTTGCTGATGGGCAGACAATGGTCGACCAAGGTTAAAGTGAGTTATGAGGCATCATCGGTAAAACACAAAGTAGCCCAGAAAAGTTGATGTAAGCACACCCGGGATACGAAATTAATTAATAAGAAACTGCAAAACCTGGCGCTAAGTTTTTTCTCCTTGAGTTCTAATATTTAGTGTAATATTAGGGGGATGGAATTGGCTTCTCACCAATTTCAGTGGAGTTCATTCTCTCAATATCTTCGTCTGTTGTGTGATAAGCATAGTCGATATTGAAGAAGTCATTATTGACTTCTTAAGAAGTCAATCTAAGGACATGAGATAACAGAATAAAAAGACTAATAGAAATTCTTTTCAGAGATTTACTTTTATTTTAGTGGAAGAAAATATCATTTGGGAAACACCGAGAAGCAGCTTCTAACATAACCACTATTTATTTTCAGGCGCATACGCGGATATAAGGGGCCAGGTATTGAAAGGAGGACTGAGAGTGTGTTTTACTTCAGCAACAGAGACTAACCAAACCACTGACCTCTAATGCCTGAGGCTTTCTGTTACATTTTGGCGACATTTTCTCTACTCTATGACATTTGAGACATAAATGAATAACACTGGCACAGGAAAAGAAATGTTGTTAAGGGAATATGAAAACTGAAATTTCTCCTCAGCAGGAAGTTAGGAGATGCAGAAGAATGCCCTGGTCAGTGCGATAGCTGGACCACTGTGTTTGCGAGTAGACTGAAGGCTCCAAACTCAACGCCACGGCGTACGTTCCGCCTTCGAGGAATTCTAGATCACAGCACAGCACTGTTCCGGTGCATTTCCAAGACTGTAACTCTTTCTAAGAGTAGAAAGTCTAGTCATAATTTTTTTCTAGAAAATAAAATATTATTCTTTATAGGTCTATTTTCTAGTACTTATTTTGTTCTCTTAATTAATAGGGTAGATGTACCAGATGGGAGAGACCTATGTACATTTTTTTCTTAAGCTATGTTAAAAACAGAAATTGTCTTGTGAACAGATGTAACCATGCTTTTGAAGGACAAATGGTCCTAAATTTTGGACATTATGTAAATTGAGATAAGAAAATAGCTACTCATTTAGCAGTTATGGACAAGCAATTAACCTATTGGTTACATTTTGAAAGCAGTATTATTCAACATATTTTGTTTGAACATCATTTAATGGAAACATTCTTTGTAAAGTAACTCTACTAATAAGACTGAAAATTCTAACTTCCCATTAAAAATATGGTCCCTTTGCTAGAACTAAGGCAGTGACAAATAATGGATTGGTAAAAATAAGCTCTACCTTAGATAAGAAGGCTATTACAAGCTCCTCTTCATTTTTTTCAATGTCATTTCTTAATACTATGCCTAAATCATCTCAGAAGAAGATGTATTGTTTTCTCCAGGGGATTGGATTATGTGAGCTGATTTTAATATCAATTTCAATGTTTTGTAGTATCTACTCATAGAAATATCTCAAACCTAAGTTAAATATTGCGCATTTTCATTCAGTCTATTTCCAATCGATTCAATACAAGAACTTCCTACTTCTAAATGGCCAAGGCTACACCAGGTGCTCTTGGGAAATAATGAAATTATAACGGAGCTGAGGTGTAAGAACTGACATGTAAGAAGGCATGAATTATAATAACTGATTAATTACATTGAAATATGCATTTGGGCAAAGGGAGTAGGATGCGATTTATTACTCTTAATTTTCTATGATAAAAAGTTTTAACAGAGGAAGAATCCTCAGATGATCCTTAAAAGATGACTGTCAATAGTCAGGGAGCACAGGACAAACCTGACCCAGGAGGGGAGGCTGAGTGGTAAGTCTGATGAAAAGTGGGGGACCATCCTCTATGCTAGATGAATGAGAAAGAATCACACTTCATTTCCTAATTCAAGGACCATTTTGGAGTCTTCTCTGGCTCAATACTTATCATAGGTAAACATATCTGAAGCCCCATCCCTATTAAAAAAAAGTAAAATTACAATAGAAAAGTATAACTGTGAGTCAAAATTTTGGGATCTTCAAGATTTTCATTTAAGAAAAAAGAAGCTCATTCATTTTAAATTTTACTTGGAAAATATATATGTAACAAAGTTTTATTGAGTCAGCATACTTTACACGTACAATTCAGTGACATTAATTATTTTCATCATGTTACTTTTATGATAGTTGGACTTTGTGTCAACTTGGCTTGGATAGTATTCTCAGTGGTTAGGCACTGTGGGCCTATCCGTGATGTGGCATAGCAGTGCCATCAACTCTGATGGGATGGCTTGTGGTCAGCAAGGCAGTTGTGAGAAATTAGGAAAGAGCACAGCCTCCTTATTCAGGTCACATGCCTGATGAAAGGAAGTTTCCTCAGGGAGTTTGGTCTTGTCCTATTGAAGCCCACTTGGTGGGAAGGCTTGTCTT